GGTAGGCCAGGCATAAAGGATGAAAATCTGCCATACAGAGCATTTCCAGAAAGGCTAGGACAGACAGCTACAAATCCTCAGAAAAGCTTGCTGGTGGCCCCACCACATATGGGCAGGCAGAGGCTGTCTGTGTTACATCTGGAGCCCCTTCTGCTTGCTGCCTGATAGCCATACAGACTCTGAACTATGGCTCATATGAGAAGTCTTTAGCTAGCTTGTTACTTTATTACAATGCTACCCAGGATGAATGTACATTTCTAAAGCATTATTTCTCTATATGTGAACCTGAGTCTACCTCCATCATAATCATCTCGGTGCATGTTAGAAATGCAGCTTTCTATATACCTGTCTACCTATTGTTTCTCTCCCATGATAGCATGAGAGAAGACCTGGCACACCAGATCATAAAACAATATCTGTACATTGTAAGTGCTTATAGATATTTATTCAATAACTGCATTCTTCAACTCTATACTGACTATTGAATCAAAATCCTTAAGAATGAAGTCAAGGAATTCACATTTTAAAGTAGTACTTTAGTGATTCTTAGTCATGCTAAATATTAGGCATTTGTATCCCAAAGTAATTCAGTGAATTCTAGGATCTTAAAATGGAAAGGTTATCACACCAGTCTTGTTCAGACATCCATATTGTTGAGATCTCATGGGTGCATTTCCCCTGACAGGTCTAAAGGATACTATCTAGCAACAGTTATCTTGGGCTTCTTCCCTGACAATCTTTCTGCCTCCTCTTCTGAGATTTTCCTGGAGCCTTGGGTGTGGGAGTTGCATTGCAGGTGTATTAGATGGAGTTGGGCATCCCACTATCACTTACTCTCTGTATTTTGACCAGTTGTAGATCTCATTAATAGTTCCATCTCTTGCAAAAATAAACTTCTTTGATGAGTGTGGCACTAAATGGGCTCAGCAGGTTATATGTACATGTGTGCATGTGTGTAAAGAAAAGATCTTGAATTTGGGAGTATGGGAGACAACACTGGAGGAGTTAGAGGAAGGCGGAGAGGCAGAAGTACTATAGTTACAGTGCCTATGTATGAAGTTCTCAAAACAAAATGAAATTAATAAAAAGTGATGTATGATTTTGTGCTCATAGACCCATGCTGTCTGTCTGATGAGACATTAGTATTCTCAGAGTATACTATAAAAATAAAATAGGAAGTGGATTCTGCATTCACTGCTGTTTCCCAAGCAGGTTTGGACAATAACTGATTCCCGAAAGCAGTATGTTATCATCAGAGAGTATAACTTTCCTCAGTTTTTCTTCAGGGATTTGGCCACTGAAATACTACCCACCCATGTCCCAGTAGATGCTCCCACAACCATTCACATTCAGGCAGCACAAAATGGGATTGGTGAGTTAGAAAAAAAATGGGAGAGCACTGAAGTTGGGAGGGAAAAGTGGTTATGGTGAAGAGGGAGAAAATGGAAGGGTGATGATGAAGGTCAATTTGATCAAAATACATTAAATGTATGTTTACTATTCTCAAACAATCAAAAAAATAATCTAACCTTTCCAAATAGCCTCACTAAGTGTGTGGTTCCTTTAAGTTTGATGCTTATTTTAGTTGCAATCCATGCCCTTGTGGCAGCCATTTGTGTCAGGTGGTCTTTTCCCCTCTCAGCCTCCTCCTCATTTGATAAGTGAAATGAGAATAGAACCAGTCCTTCAGGTCATTCTCAGTTCTAATGTGCCCAACTCTTGAGTACTCAGTGACAGTGGTGTAAGGGGTACAGGTTTTTCTGCCTGCCGCCGCCCGGTCTTGTCCTGCCGCCGCACCAGCCCCAAATAATACACAGAGACTCTGTATTTGATATAATCCTGTTGGCCAGTTACTAGTTTCTTATTGGCTAGCTCTGCCTTAGTTATTAACCCATTTGTGTTAATCTATGTATGTCCACGTGTTCTTCTTACCGGGAGCCGGCTGCCGCATACTGTTCTCTCCAGACTCTCCATCTTGACTCCTCCTTACTTATTCCTATTTTCTCCTTGTCTCCTAGTCCCTCCTATCTTCCTTTACTATTGGCCAACAGTGCTTTATTATTAACCAGTATGAGAAACATGTACAGAATGACATCTCCCAACACAGTGGAGTGGTTTATATGTAACAAAATACCCTTATGTAATTTGATGAGCAAATAGTGATGATCAAATCCATCCTGTACTTTCCAAATTTAGGCAAACTATACAAATTTACCAGATGCATAACCAGTTTCTGAGAGGTTTCTTTGAAGTTCCATGCTTACCTACACAATACTATGGCAGTTTTACATGCTTAAAACTTTCTGTAAGAGAGAAATACATTGCCAAACTTTCCTCTGAAGTTCCAACAGTTCCTTGAGAACAGGGTGGAATAGTCTGTGGTCCAGGACACAGCTCCATCAATGCTGGGTCACAGCCTCATCTGAGGTTCACTTAACTGTGGGGGGTCATGAAAAATCTAACAACAGTAAAATGTTTCTGACTGTACAATGAGCAAAAATTAATTCAAATCAGTTTGTAGTGATTCCAAGATGTTTCTGGCAGTGCCCACTCAGTTGCATTCTGCTGTTTTGCTGCAGACTTGGTTCTGAATATACAACCAGCACATCTGGTTCAGTGTGTGCCTTCATGTTACACAGTATCAACAACCATCATCTGCAACAACCTGGTTAAGATGTATGCTACGAATTGTGGTACTTTTACTGTACATACAAGATTTGCTGCTACTGTAGAAACTTAAATGGTGCAATTACAGAAAAAAAAGATTTTAAGTTTCTTTTTGTCATTCTTCATCATACAAGTATCAGATTTGTATCTCTCTGGATTATATGTTAGAATGATTAATTTTTGAATAATTAATTTCTTAATTGCTGTTATAAACACATCCGTCTACTCTGGAAACCCCTGAAGATGATCTACAGCCTGCAGCATAAAACATTCAGCCAAGATTTAATTCAGGCACATGCATCTCAGTGGTATGCATGCTTGCTGTCATCATTAACAAATGGCAAAATTATATACATGCCAAAAACGAGTATAAGTTTCTGGCTAGGTAAATCATTCAGTCTAAAGTACTTGCCTTGTAAATACCCCCAGAACTCATGTTTAAAAGTTAGGCCTTGGGTGTGAGACTGAGGTAAGGAAATGCCTGGGGTTTTCTGGCCAGTCAACCTAGCCTACTTGCCAAGATCCAGGCCAGTAAAAGACCCTCCCTCAAAAGAAAATATGACTGGAACCTGAGAACTGACCTCTACAGACATGCATATGCACAAGCATGTATTCTTATAAACATGTGCACTTATAGCATGAAAACACATGCATACATACAAACAAGATAGAATGAATTTCTTTGATTTATTATCAGTAAATATTTAACTAATTTAGGGTATAAAATGCTTGTGAGAGCTCATTTCCAGTCCCATTTCCCTGTCTCACAGGAGTCTGGAAGATGGGATGCTCTGGCCTTGCAGACACGCTTTCCACAGCAATACACCTGTAATGCCTTTTGCTAAATTCTAACCTGACAACCCAAGCCCCAGTCCATTGCTGTTGCTTGGGTGATTGCATATAAATCACTTTGTTCTGGCAGAACCACCTAAGCCAGTGGTTCCCAAAGCTTTGAGCTTTGAGATTTAATGTCCAATTGTTTTGTCAAGCTTCTTTAAAAAAACAAAATCTGTATTGAAATTGACCAAAAAAAAAAAACAAAAACAAAAACAAAAAAAAAAAACCTAACGGCCTGACATCCCCCTCTATAGAATATTCAGATTATTTTGAAGACTAAAGAAATGTGATGTGAAAATGTTAATTAACCTGTAATAAAATCACTTATTTTTGGAAAGACACAAGAAGGTATGATGAAGCAGCCCATGGTCACCATGTGTTTAGATCCACAGGGGCTAAATTACCAAGGCCCAGTCATTGCTCACTGAATGCTGGTAGCATCCCCACCCAATTTTTGTATTACACACTCTGTCCTTACTTTTTCAAAAGTGTCTTTACAAAATTTAGATTAATGATCCCAACAGGGAAAGTTGCCTGTCTTAGGAAAGTATTTCCCCACCCACAGCTCCTTCCAACTACTTTATTGTTTTTTGTTTTCCTTCAGAATCTTAAAACAGAACTATCACACCACATTACAATAATCTCAGTGATGACTATGTGTCTATCACATGCCAAGCCTTTAAAAATATTTTTGCATTTGTTAAGTTATTGACTTGCTTAATCCTAATAACTAACTATAAATACTACCATTTTCCAGGAATACTTGGCATCATATAACTTGTTCTAGAGATAATTTCTCATGATTATCATAATGTTGAATTTTATTACAGGAAAGAAACAGTGTCAGAATGCAATGATGTGTCCTCATCCGGCGCCTTCCTATTTAACTGATTATCACAGTAAACACAGAGGTAGCTCTGTCCTTTGGGAAAGAGATCCATTGGGGAACAACATGATGTTTCTTCCTCATGTGCCTTTCTATCCGAGTATTTGAAATGAGTCCTTGGGTTTGGGCTTGCTTTATGCTTTCAGGCTTTAAGACTATATAGGTGATTTGGGAATCACATTTTCATACAAATGTCTCAGAATGGATTCTCTCTTCTTGGTGTTCCATCAACATAAAAAAGAAAAAAAAAGTAGATCCACCCATTTGGAGTGAAATTTTTTTTTAAAGTGAAGATTGGGCATGATTGTTTTCCTGAACTTCTCTTTCATTGCCAGATGTCTTGTTCCCAACTAGACCTGTTTCAAATTAAGCAAAAGGATGCATTTTAGCAGCTCTGTGGGCAAAGGAGAGAAGCAGTGCGACCATTTTACCAAGGACATGGTATGGTCAGGTGTCTCTCAAACACAGTAACAAATAGTTATATGTCATACTGGAAGATAAATGCATTTGTGCCTGTCCCCAGAGATAGACAAAGAGCTGTCTTAACTGAGCACCAGTTAATGATATTAGTTGGAGTCTACCATCTTGAGGATCCTGACACTGTAAAGACAGCAAAGAAAACTATTCCAGACAAACCCACATATATTCCTTTTTCCTTACAGAGGGAAAATGATCCCATCTGATCTCGAAAGAAGAATCCTTGAAGTCAAACAGAAGGTAGGTTTTGTAGGGATCTCTGCCCCATAGCAATATGTATTTTGATTTGTAGCCAAGAAAACGTCATGTAAAGGATACAAACCCCAGTCTCCAAGCTTTAACAAGAAAATTAAATTTTCCACAAATCCTTATATTGGTCTCCAAGTATATGTATGTGTATGTGTACATGTGGTATGTGATGTATATGCATATGTATGTATGTGTGTGTTTTATAAAAGTTTAAGCTTCTGAGTAGGTAATCTATACAGATATGGGTTTCCAAAGCCCCCATACATGCTGCACATGTATGAACCACCCTCTCACAGCTAAGGACTGGCATGCTCATGCAACATGTGAGTGACTGTCATGTGAAGTTCTGAGAGGATCTTGCTAAACCACACATCTGATTTTGAAGCACAAATTTAGAACTCTGTTATCAATAACAAGATAGGCTGGGGATATGACTCAGTTGGGAGAGGGCTTGTTTAACTTGCCAAAAGTCCTGGGTTGATCCCCAGCATCCATAAAGTATGTGTGGTCAAAGCAGAAGAGTCAGGACTCCAAAATCATCCTCAGCTACATGTGAAGTCTGAGGTCATTTTGGAAGATATGAAATCATGAATCATGGCTCAAAAAATATAAAACAAAATAGCAATACCATCAAATAATATGCCCTTGGACAGTTCACAAGTCAGAGAGTGCTTTGAGAATTCTGTTTAACTTTTAGTAGATAAAGGGTACGATGCCTGGTTTAGCAGTAGATATAATTACTATGAACTTAACAGTAATAATTTATTTTCATATGCCTTGTTTCCCTTCCACGGCTTTTATGTTTTAGAAAGGTGATGAGTACTATAAACCATAAGATTAAATCTTTGCTGCCACCTAAAGACAAACTCTGAAACATCAAGGTCTATGAACCAACAGGATGGTCAGGACAGCCTAGAGTGATGGCACCAAGTTGATTGTATCTGACATTCTTACACCCTCTTGTAGTCATGTCCTATTATTTAAATCAAGTTTCGTGATGCATGGCTTGAAGAACGCTTAGCCCCATGTGAGCTCCCCTCTAAGATCCCAAATAAATCACTTGCACTAGTCCACATAGGAGCATGGACACACTAAGGAAGGAGTTAGGTGTGAAGAAGAAGAAAGAGCAGAAAATGAGCAAAGAAAATAGGAAGGGTCATTCAGTCTACCTGGAGCATGTAATGGTTTGGGGACATCACTGGAAACCTCCAGTGCAGCAAAGCCAGTGCTGCTAACCCCAGCTGTCTGTCGTCAGCTGTGGTGAAGTGAAGATTTCAGAATCTTGGAGAAGTCATTGCTGGGTCAATCGATAGTGCTGACGACTCTTGTTAAAAAGTTGTTAAAAAGTTCATTAAAAAGAAGCCTCGGATCCTGGTGCTGTGGTCGTGCCTATAGCACCAGCACTCAAGACTGGGCTGGGAGGATTGTCACACACTGGGACCAGTCTATATACTGAGTTCCAAGTGAGACTGGGCTACTTGGAATAGCAGGGCCTTGTCTCAAAAAATTTAAATGAGCAAATAGCCCAGAGGCGCTATTTACACAACTGGGCTTTCTTGTTTTTGTAGGGATTTGTTCCTTTCCTTGTGAGTGCCACAGCTGGAACCACTGTGTATGGGGCTTTTGATCCCCTCTTGGCTGTTGCTGACATTTGCAAGAAGTATAAGATTTGGATGCATGTGGATGTAAGTACCCCTCAGCGACCCCATTAAATACCTCTGCACACTTTTTAGATGAGACTCATGAAATACTATTTGTATCCTCTCTCTCTCTCTCTCTATGTTTAGAATGGTGGTATCTCAGATTTTAAAGATTTCAGAGGCACAGAACTTACACAGTGTGTGATATTAGTCAGAAATAGGCTGACATTGATTATGTGTTAAGGTTCCCAATGTGAAAATATTATTGACATGTCCAGTACTTGACCTTGGTTCTCAATTTATCAATCCATAATGTCCCTGGCTAAAAATCACCCCCCCCAACACACAGTCACACATATGCAGATCCCCACAGGATTATAAAATTCAAGTTCAAGTTAGATAATCATTATTTAGTGGTTAAAAAGCAGGCTTGACAACTTACTAGGAAGTATGAACTACCAAATTTCCAATATGTTTAGTAAACTAAGAAGCTGAACTGTATTAGATATATTTTGACACAAAGTTTAATGACACCAACATTTAAAGAAAATACACCAGCATTTTCTAATAAAAAATGTGCCCCTTTTTGTCAGGCTGAACTGAAGGGATTTAAATTGAGTGTGTTACTTGGTGTGGCTTGAAGATCAATTGCTATCTGCAAAGTACATGCTAATGGTCCACGGTGAGATAAAAATATTTGTGATAAATAACCAACCACAAACCATCACCAACTCAGCAGGATGTTTAGTTCAGCTGATCTTTTTTGTTACAATATTTTCTCTATAAGGAAGTGCTAAGTTGTTACACATTCAGGTGCAAACTCCTTATGCTGCTGTTAGCTAAATCTGCAAGTAGCATTGATCTGGGTCATTCTGGCTTTCAACATGGACCCTGTCTCATGGTTCCCCAGCCCACATTACCTACTCCAACTGTGGCAGCCATAGGCTTTCTCATTCTGAGAGCATGGACCTTCCAAAGGATCAACATAAAAACTACAGGAGGCTGGGGAAGTGATCTTTCTCCCGCTCATGCACCCTGGGAAAATGTGTCTCTAATTTGACTCCATAATTATAAAAGTATGATATATAAATGTAAGATAGAGTCTGAGACTTCCCACCTTGAAGTTTAAAGATCTCACATTAAGAGAAGGTGGTCTACTCCCCTAAGCTATATGAAACTGTGAAGGTCATTTTCATATTATGACATTCCCATTAATACTGAAGACAGCAGATAGAAATCTAGGCTGTGAAAGGGTACCACACTCTTCCTTATCTGTTTTGTCATTTCAGGCAGCTTGGGGTGGAGGGTTGCTGATGTCCCGGAAACACAAATGGAAGTTGAGCGGGGTGGAGAGGTATGTGCTATTTCCTAGTCTGCAATGTAGAATGTGAAATGCTACACAGAAGCAAATGGCACTCCACTTCTAAGAAAGTCTTGGAATGCCAGTAGGCCCACTCTGCCTGTACTTGTGTGTCTTGCCTATGTGTAACTATGGGGGTGGGGGAGGAGCAAAAGCAAATCCCACATCAAGTAACTGAAGGAAAGTGGCTTTCAGAAATGATCTCTAGAGTTCATTCCCGGAATCTTTGAATCCTCTGCCATGATTTTAAAACCTGCAGCCTGTCCACATTTTTCCTAGAGAGATCTATAGCCTCCACGTTACTATAAGAATAACATCCACTACTTTAAAGAAAAAAATAGTTTTCTCAAATCAGGCAAACGCTTTGTCCTTTGTAATGCTGAAAGTTACATTTTGGCATTAGATACAGTCAACTGAGACAAAGTAAGACATGCTAGTGATTTTATTCTCCTGGCTTTGTCCCACAGTCACCCTGTTCTGACATAGCTCTGATTGATGCAGTAAGTAGCTCTTATTTGGGGCCGGTGCAGCAGACCATTGAGAAAGGCTGCAAAGCACAAAGGAAGTAGTATTTGATTAGCATAAAACATACTGAAGTCCAGAGGGGGTGCAGGATACAAAATATGGCTTCAGGCTGTGGTTCTGAGCCACAGGCAAAGGGCAACCAGTTTTCCCATCACAACACAGCATGTCAACCAGGTCAGCAGGTCAGCTACAGCTGTGAGTTCTGCCACTCCAGACCACAGAGAAAGCTTTAATTCATCAGAGGCTGACAACTGCCTACCATGCTCTGCCAAGCAGCCAGATGCTTCCCAGGAAAAGCTTCACCCTGGCTCTGCCCCTGGACATCTTGGCACAAGTTCTATGTCAGGACCAGGGAAGAGGCTTCAGGAGCTTGGGAGCATCTGTCAGTACGCAGAGAGCACAGACCAGAGAGTATCTGTGTGAGGCCAGGCCGACTCAGGCTCACATGGACAGAAGCCATGAGTGTGGAAGTGGGGGAGGAAGAGATTGGGGATAGAGCCAAGAGTGTCCTTTTTTGCATTAGCAGAAATAAGGCTAAGGAAGAGTTGGCACAGAGCAGCCAAGCCTTACATCATGGGATGACTGTTCCTGACTCTGCTGCCAGGAGCCCTGGCCTTGGCACAGCAGGGTTAAGTCACTAACACTGCCCTTGTTCCGGCTACATGGTCCATGGAGGGGAAGATGAGAGTAGGTGTGCTCCCACCTGAGCTTGGCCAGAGCCCTGGTACCCTACATGCCCACCCAGAAGTGCAGAGCACCTTCCCTTCTGTGACTGTTTCTGACAAAGTATAAGCATATTTTATACTCCCTTTAATACCACCTCATTTGGTAAGTACCGAGGACTACAGAGCACCCTGCCACCACCACTTAAAAGCTCACTAAATTACCTAGCTGGAGCCCGGGGAAAATAAACACCCACACATTTTTGTACTAAAGACTGTTATTTGAGAGAAACGCTCAGAGTGTTCATCTTGGAACACAGAGTCCTCCGTGTTCCTACTGCTACAATTCTCAAAACCAAGTTATGATTAAATTTACCAAGTGGAGTAGCCAAGGATGGACTACTCAGAAATTGGGGCACTGGCACTGCCATGTCAGGCTCTGAGCACATGTAGCAGATGGTAACCATCCTACAGCATCCTTAGCACACCGTGCATACTCTTTGGTGAATATGGTCACAGAACCTGTGGAAATGTGGAGGGCCTTAATTTTAGGAAAGAAATGTGACTCCATTGGAGAAATAACTTCTCTAAGTATCACAAGCCAAAGTTTAGGACCTGCTTTAAAGGGGAAAGAGAAATCCATGGTCCATTCTTGCCCTCTGTGGTTTCAGGGCATTCCTGAGTGACATTTTCACAGCATAATGGCAGAGCACTATCCAGCATCCTCTTTGAGAACAAACCAAATCCTTCAGATGTCTCTCTTTCTTGCTAGCACTGCCTTTCCTAGAGCCAGTGTAGCTGAGAAGGGCTGCTAGGAGCCCAGAGACTCCAGAGCATGTCTAACACTGCAACAATCTGCTCTTCCAGGGGACTTAAGGACTTGCTGAGGATTTCAATGAAACAGAAGCAGTGTCAGCAATTGCCTTGGATCCCACTTGAGAGCCAAGGCAAGCCTGCTGATAAGAGAGATGGAGGAAGAAATGGTCCTTCCTAGGAAGGTCATTCCAGGAAGCATATGCCAAGCATCAGTACGGGGACTTAGCATCATCCAGTGAGGGGCAAAAATGAAAGAAGGGTGTATTCCACCTGGAGAGAAGAGATGCATAAATGTCCTTGGAGAAAGTAGAGTCCAGTCTGGGTGTAGGTAGAATAGAAGAGTGGTAGAAATACAGAAGACCTGTCCAGGACTTGGCAGATTATCTGGCACATAAAGTCCCAGGGGTGCTGTCTAAATGCCATGGACTGCTGAGCTGGATTGTTCATTGGCTTAGGTAAGATTCCCAGTAAGAGTCCTCTGATTGGCCAGATTATACCTGTTATTTATCATTACTTCCCAAGGCCCTCACACCTTGAAGAGTGAGGGGAACATCAAGCTAGGGCATTGTGGACTCAGTTGCTATGGGCTGTTCCACGGCCTTATTTCCTGCCTCTTGTGGGTTTCTTTATTCAACATTCATATCATGACCTCATCATCTTGCTTGATGGCTATGGAATTCTTGGCAGCAACAGTTGCTTTCTCTGGGCACTTGGAATGTATAGGTTGGGGCACTGCAGAGGGAGTTAAAGGTGAGAAGTTAAAGGAAGTTGAATATGGCTGAAGAGGTACTTAAGTATCTGGATGTAAGGGCAAATAAAATTAAACAAAGCGAAGCCAAGAAAGAGGCAATGGCATGATTTTCCCAAGAGTAGAGTAGAATACTCAGAGAACAAGAAGGGATCTGGTGTTATGGAAACTCGTAAAGGAAGGGAAGGGATGTAGGCTGAACACAGAGGTCCCCCTGGGATATCCATGGTCATATGCTGCAGTTTGCAATTTGAGCTACAGGGAAAGACCATAAACAAAAGTGTAAAATAATCCCCGTGCCTAGGGGAGAGGCAGAGTCAGTTAAGACTACCCAGATTAAGCTAATAATAATGATAATTATTAAATAAATATGAACCATGGTCCTAATGCAGTGTAAGTCACTGAGCTGTTCATCTTAGAATCATAGTCACTGAAAGACTGTAGTGTTTCATATGAACGAAGACAAAATTTATTGGAAACTCTGCTGTACAGTAAATATGGGCAGCCATATCCATAGTCCCAGTACTCAGGAGGCTGAAACATAAGGATAACAACTTTGAATCATCCTAGGCTATGTAGTGAGACCCTGTTTCAAAGAGAAAGTAAAGGAAGGGAAGAAGAGAAAGGAAACGATAGCAGCAGCTCTCTTGTATGAGCCATCCCGCTCACCACAGAAGTATCAGGTGAGAGGAGAGTCCCTCTGAAAGGACACATGTGAGATGTATGTTTATGAACTGAGTAGGGCAAATACCATCAAAGAAAGGAGGAAAGGAGTTTCCTCATCCAGACCATGGTGGCAGAGTCAGAAGCAGGGACAATAGAGGCACAAGGATGGCCCTTCTACATTTACAATGCTCTGGTCAACAGTGGCTAAAGGCAGGACCATGAATTCAGTGATCCCAGGCACCCCAAGGGCTCTGAGAACACCATACAGGCAATGTCCGCTTTTATTGAAGGTACAGAGAAAGGAAAGGACATGGAAGCATATTCACCAACCCCATCTGTCAACAGTGGAAGGCTGCACCTCTGTAGATAGAGTGTCATCCTGGAGTATGAGAAAAGTACAACCTGGAAGCTCTGGTGTCAGGCGCAGACCCCCAGTAATCTGATGTGAATACTAAAATCTAATGTGATTTTCTTATTTTAGGGCCAACTCTGTGACATGGAATCCACACAAGATGATGGGTGTCCCTTTGCAGTGCTCAGCTCTCTTGGTTAGAGAGGAGGTATGCTTTGCCAGACTTTGGGGCCAGTCCAGGGGGTGGAATCTACCTGCTCCCATACAGCTTAGGACCTGCTCAGGTCCAGGTGTTAATTGTTTCCCACAGAGAGGTCTTCAGAGCCCTTGTTTGGAGGGGAAGGACCTGAAACCCAGAGGGGAAGGAAGACTTAACTCTCAGCCTTCAGAACTAATACCTTGGCTTCATTTGCATGTTTTCTGAAAATCCCTTTCCTTACATTCCCCCAATACATTCAGAATATAAATCTAACCCATCTGTGTAACTATGAACCACAAAGAGAATAAGCAATGACCACTTTCATTCAAAGTACTTATATGTGCAAAGTCTGAAATAGAGTCTCTCTGTTGGCTCTGCATCTCCCTTAGTGGTGCCAGGGTGAGTCATATGTCTTCACTCTTACATTCATCTTGTTGTTAAGAACTAAACAACAAGACAAATGTGGGGTTCACATTTGTCATCCTAGCACTAAGGAAGCCCAAGCAGGATTGTTGTCAATCAAGCCTTGCCTAGTTTCCAGAGCCAGACCATACCCAGAAACAAGCAAAACCAAGCAAATGAAAACAAGAACTAAACTAAGGAACTTCAGTTCATTCCAATTAAATTTTGCCTTGTTAAAATCATGATACTAGATTTTAGTACCACATCTAAAGCCATTTTTAAATACTTTACTTGCTTTAACAAAATTTCACAAAATACAGATAAATTTAAACTAACCTACAATTCTGTTATTTAGTGATATTATCACTATTGTCTTTAAATATATGCTCCCACAATTTCCTAGGACTGTGTATATTATATATAGATACATTTTATACATTCAAAATAAAATTGCTACCACATATCTCATATACTACATTCTATATTTAACATTCTAGGATGAACATGATATTTCAATACTTTTTAAATTATATTTTAATTCTCTATCACACGATATTTAGTTGTTTAACAAAATCCTAAAACATGTATCTTTATCACTTTTCTGATTATTAATCCCTTTAAGAAGGATTTCTGGGTCAAATGGCATTCTTATTTTGTTGATCTTTGTTGATCCCTCTTAACAACTATAAATTTAAGCACCATGCTTTCTGAGTCTTCATCAAATAAAATTAAAATCTGGACACAAATTGGAGAAAAACTGCCCTACAAAATTCGAGGAATGTTGTAAAAGCATCCCTTGGGACTGGTTTGCAAAGAAACACTTGGTTACTTTATCGTCATTACCCTAGCCCATGTACACCTCAGCTACTACTTGAAAATATAAAATAAACCTTTGTTATTTATGTCCCAGCCAGATGTTAGACATTGCTTGCATTCTGTCACAGCAAGCCAAAAAAGAGAAATGCAAGTCAGATGAAAACAGGCCAAACTGGATCTGACTAGCTGCCTGTACTGGAAAGATCTGCCCACTGACAATTTGATGCAACCTAGGATAGAGCCTTGTGCTTGGCACCTGACCCATTCATACACAAATTACTCAATGACAATCTGAGACACCAAAGCTCCTATGCTTCATATGAGAGGAAGCTGGAAGGTAACAGAATCAGAGCACAACCTGTGTTTTACAGACTAGGACTGAGAGTCTCATTGGAAAGAGGATGGTGTTCATCCTTTTCCTTTCTCATCACTGGGACCAAATACTGTTGGGGGGGTTAACGCAAGGAGGGTCTGTTTTGGCTCACAGTGTGAGATGATCCAGTGGATCACGATGAGGAAGGCACAGCAGCAGGCCACAGTATGGCATGTGGCTGGGATATCTCACCACCTCCAATCTCGGCAGAACACAAATGTGAATAGTCTGGATGTGGAGCTAGGCTATACCCTTAAGGCCTACCCTAGTGAGTCATTTCTTCCTAAGTTTGCACACTCTTCCAAAGCAGCACTACCATCGAGGGAACCAAGGTTCAAACGTGCCTATGAAGGGACATCTCACATTCAAACCATAGCACTCTCTCCCTGGCCTCCTTCCACTTGCAGCTACCCATAATGCAAAGTGCAGGTCGTTCAAAAGTCACTGTAATCCAGCAGTTTCAACACTGCCCCAAAGTCTCTTCAGAAACTCAGAGCTGTTAACTGTGAGCTGCTGAAACCCAAAAGACCCACGACAGCACAGGGTAAGCCAACAGGGCAGAATGGGGCATAGCAAGGAAAGGCCACATCAAGGGAAGGCTGAAACAGAGCAGGCTACACTTGAGCTTGAGCAGACAGGCTCATCTCACTTATTGTTAAGACGTGTAAAGAAAATGGAACTTCAGTGTGTACTATACATGGTCGATAAAAGCAAATCCAAATGCCATTCAAAAAGACCACGATTGAGAAGAGTAAATTCAGCATCCAAAAGTTGGTATCTCCACTCTCTAGTGGTTAGGCCACACCTGCAGCGTTTCCACTTGCTTGGTCCCAGACTGTATATGGGACCCCACCAAGTGAGACGTCCAATAGCCAGGGACACTACATGAACGTCTACTATTAATGACCGATGTGGGAGGCCCCACACACTGTGAGAGTTGCTCTATAGGACTCTCTGTATAAAAAATACAACTTCAGACTACCTACCCGGGGTAGCACCTCCCACAGAGGGCTGGCCCTCCCACATCAATAAGGGAGTCATCTTCTCAATTGAGATTTCTTCTTCTCAGATAACTTTTGACAAAAAACTAATCAGCACACGCATTGAGACACAGAATTAAAAATAAAAATAAATCAAAGAAAAAAATAGATTAGTTTAATTCGAAGATCCTCTCAAATCCAAGAGCTTATGATGTCCTACCCACCCCCCCTACACACACACACACACACACACACACACACACACACACACACACCCCACTACCACTTTTGGAATACAATGAGTAATAACATCACACAAGATTGCAATGAAAGTTCTGTGGTGGGAAAAACAAAAAACTTCAGTTTTAAAAAGGTTGAGATGTATTGATAAGAGTTTAAAACAAATCCTACCATCCCAAGTGTTTGTTGAAGCCTTTAATATTCTGTTATACATTATAAGATCTAGACAGAAGACACAAATATATAGTTTCCTAAGTCTATTGAAATCTGAGACTTCCATTTTGTGTAGCATGAACTCATGTATTTGGATTAGTTTGGAACACTGTGGTCTATGACTGTTTCCTTGGTCAGAACCTGGACATTAACTCACAAAAGTCTTGTGTATAAAAACCTAGATCACTGTTTGCTTTCTGAGGACATGGTGAACCTGGTCTGTCCAGGGCCAGTCATGAAAATCATGGACTACAAACTAATCTTTACATTTCAGTAGGAGTTGGTCCAATCCACCCACCATCACACTCTCTGAAACTCTTTTGTTTAGTACGGGTGACACCTATTTGTAAATTTTCAATGCCAGGAAAAAAACTGGTACAAAGGTTTTTGTGGTCATGAATCAAAATAGAGGCACTGCCTATAATTCTACTTCTTATTAATCTGTAAGGGGATTTTCTTTTTCAAGTTGAATATGTTCATCCTGCTTTCATGCTCACACATATTTATTTTTTGTCTCACTTCCAAAGAGAACTACAGAGTTCATGTAATATGAAGCCCAAGCTAGAGGTGGATCAATTATATTGTCTATCAAGCATCCTGTCTGCATTGCTCTGCCTTTTAGTTTAAATAACTTTTTAAAAGGTTCTCACTTCTACTTCAGCTCGTGATCACATTTTGGTCTTTTCTTCTCTTGTCATGAGTCATAAGAGAAAGGAAAGCAAATGCCAAAGCTTTTATAAAATCACAATTGCACAGCAGCCGACAGGAGAGTCAGGAACCTCCAGTGGCTGTGATAAATTGAACTGTGGTAGGGTTTCCAGGAGGAGACTGGCAGGCAGTGCTATTGTAGCCAGAAGCATGAGTCATTCACTGTTCTTCAGAACAATCACTTCACTGCCTATTTCTATATTAGGGGTATGGTGCTTGGGTAAATTCATGGTCACTGCAGGAAAATCTACTTTGCCATAAGCAACTGAATGTTTGAAAATGCAGTCTCCAAGCCCTACTCTCAGGAGAGGAACAGGAGATGGGAAAGTCTGCTTCTTTAGGTTCAACTCATAATTGCAGTGTCTTTGAATTTTTTTCACATGCCAGTTTATAAAAAATAAGAGCAACGAGCTACCTAATAGCTCAAGCTCTAGTAATTACAGAGGAGTGAAAGTTCTAGAAGAACCACAATAATGGTATTTTAAGAACCAGAAAGTTGGGACTGGAGAGATGACTCAAAAGTTATGAGCTCCGGCTAATCTTTCAGAGGTTTGAGTCCCAGCACCCAACTGGCAGCTGCCAATCATTTGTACCTACAGTTCCAAGGATTATAACACCCTTTTCTGTCCCCTTGGGGCACTACAGACACATGGTAGACATAAATGCAGGCAAAGTATCCACACATGTAAATCTTAAAAATCAAAGAAATAGAAGCCTCTGAAGCCTCTTCCCCTTTCCTTTTTCTCTTTCTCCTCCTTCTTTTTAAAAGGGTGGTCTTGGTATACAACCCTGACTGACCTAGAACTCACTAAGGAGACCGAGGTGACTTCAAACTTGCAGCAATCCTTCCAAGTGTTGGGTTTCTGAAATATTTTAATTATAACAAAACTAGATTAAGATGAACTCCTAGAAAATGAACATCATGTGAAGCTTATGTATCTATGTATTTTTGTAAATGTTATTTCCTAAGAAGAAGAAAACAAAAATGTAAATGTGACCCTGTTAACCTCTGGTAGCATCCTACCCTGAGCATTCATCTCCCCCCCCCCCGCCCCCGAATCAGCCTATGATGTTTGCCTGGACAGTCTTGTCCAGTAGTATTTCTATTTAACTCTTACTGTTTTCTTCTTCCATGAGATATAAAAACATTTGGGTCTATGGCTTCTCTTCTTCCTTAACAATTGCTACCACAATGCAATGCTAATGCAGAGTGAGGAGAGTGCCCTGAATGTCCTCTTTGCTTTTGCAGGGACTGATGCAGAGCTGCAACCAGATGCATGCTTCCTACCTCTTTCAGCAAGATAAGCACTATGACCTGTCCTATGACACTGGAGACAAGGCCTTGCAGTGTGGACGCCATGTTGATGTCTTTAAACTATGGCTCATGTGGAGAGCAAAGGTGAGCACACACCCGCTGAATGGCAACTAAAGAAAAGAAAGCCTATATGACAAAGGTTGTAAAAAGTGATTGCTAGATGGAAAATTACTCAGGGAATTCTCTTTGATCTCTATCTGCATACCCACATTCTCCATGGGCAAGAGTACAATGAGACCCCCTCCTTTGTCTCCTCTCAAGGCCAGTTGTTTCTAAAGCTCTTAACTCAAAAAAACCCATTTTGATGCATTTGGCAGAGCAGCCTAATTTTTGAGAGGCACCTCTTACTGCTATCATCCTCATTGTTATTTGGTTTATTTTGTGCCCTCCTCTCCATCTTGATGACCAATCACCAGGGTAGATTAATGTGTTTATAGAAGGAAAACAGGAATGAAAAATGCTACCATGATCCCTTATGTTGGTCACTTCCAGGGATAATTCCCAATGTGAAAACACTATTTAAACTCTAAAAGTTCCCAGTCCTTTGTGTAGGGTTCTGTGTGCCTCAAAATTTACCTAGAGGTGATCCTTCTTCTACCCAGTGAAGTACTTTCTGTAGCTGTTGGTACAATATAGGCTGGGCCTCTTCTCAGCCTTCTGGAGGCAGATGTTAACTGTAAGGAGGCTGCAAAGGTCAGAGATTATTTTTTATTAATTTATTCCTTGATGGTTTCATGCATGTATATAATGCATTCTAGTCACATGTGTCCCTCCACCCTTTCTTATCCCTCCCACCCCCCAAAAACCCACCTTCATATCTTTTAGGGGGCTTCTGGACTTTGCTTTGTGACCCACTTAGTTTAATTTTAACTGGACTCTCAATTTACATGTAAGAAAAAACACCATGTTCTCCGTAAACTAAGGCAAGAGGATTGGTGTGAGCTTGATTGAGATCAGCCTGTCTTCTGAGTAGGATCTTGTCTCACAGCCATGTAAATTTGCTACAGTTGTTCTTTCAGGGAAAGGTTGACCGCTGTGACAGGCATGGCTAGGGAGCTTCAGATGGGATAATTACCTTCACTTCTGGTCTAGGTTGAGGGACTGCACTTATTACTTTGATAACTCTTACCATTTCATCTTGGGGGGAAAAAATGAAAGCCAAATGGAACTTTTCCCTTTGGATATCCAGACATTTGAAGCTTTTCATAACAACAAAAAAGAAAGCTCTTAAGTAATGCAGCTGGTGACCTTGCCTTTTTCACCGCTCTCTGGGGTCTTTTATTTCAAGGCTGGGAAAAGCTGGCTTCATCACCTTCCTGTCAGGGGTTGACCTATTCTTGCTGCTTGATCCACACCTGGTATTTCTTTCCTTTGCCTCAGGAATTAAGACCTGAAACATGCTTTACACGGGCTGTGTTGGGTCTTCCCTTTGAGGGATGATAAGGCCCTGAATAAAAGGGGAAAACATACCCATCTTCTCTCCATTTATAGTTAGAGTTGCTTCTTCTGGTTCCCATGTTGGGTTAGGTAGTATGCCAGTACCAACAGCATTAATTTCTTTTCTGACATTTGCATTTGCACTTGCCAAATACAGGTTCTAAAGGAGGAAAATCATTTTAGAAATCAGTTGCTTAGTGTGCCTAGGCATTGGTTAAATAGCTCCAGCCCAAGGTGTTTCATAAGTCCAGACCCGAGGTTTCTAGAGCTGAGAAGTAGAGGACTTCAATAGCATATTCACCCAGCTGACATATGAGTCACGCATCATCGCAAAGGACAACACCAAAAAGCTAGGCAGAATGACAGGCTTCCCAAGACTCATTTGTTTGATCAACTGACATTCAATGTCTGTTTGTTCTTACTGAGTCATTTAGGGAGTTTGGGGATGGATAATTTACAACACCAGTGGGGGCCAAGCAGGCATGTGGGGGGGGGTCTCTGACAAGGCTTCTTGCCTACAGGAAAAGACTAGCCCAGCTCTTCTGTTATTAATGACTTCCATGATTGCATCTATGAGCTGCACAGGCAAATTTTCCCCTTGAGTAATCAAAATAATTGCCTGGGGAATTAAGCCCTGGGAACAAAAGGAGTCAGCTGTGGGCCCTAGTAATGAAAAGGAACAAATGCACCTGGGGGGGGATTAAAAGGGAGCCTTCAGCAGAGAAGCCTCCAGAACAGTCTCATCTCAGCCTGGCAGAGCTGGAAAGGGCAGGATGACCCCCAGTCTCCCGGGGACTCATGTCATTCCCCTATTTCCAGCTGATAGCTACCCACATGCCGGGTCTGCCTAATGCTTTTCCTTCTTCTCTTTCACAGGGGACTACTGGCTTTGAAGCACATATTGATAAGTGTTTGGAGCTGGCAGAGTATTTATACAATATCATCAAAAACCGAGAAGGCTATGAAATGGTGTTTGATGGGAAGGTATATACTCATATTTCAACACTTGCCATTGTTGAATCCCAGCGTCTTGAATTCCACTCTTCACCCCTGGTGTTTTCTGATGTCAGAAACATGCTGTCTAGCTAAGTGGGACCATTACAAGGGGAAGCAATAGATGGTGGGATGGCCCCTTTGAGCTGGAATAAAGATCAGACTCACAAGTAATTGTATAGAATGTGAAAGTGAGACACTCCAAAGGCAATTATTCATTTAAGTACAGCAATTATCTTCTGAACCTAAAGAATAAACACATCCAAATCATCCTTGGAATTTTGGACCATGTCTGAATCCTACTTTCTTCCTTGTAGCCTCAGCACACAAATGTGTGCTTCTGGTTTGTACCTCCCAGTTTGCGAGTTCTGGAAGACAATGAAGAGAGAATGAGCCGCCTCTCAAAGGTAAGTGCTGTGAGTTCCTTTGGTCTATGTGTCTTCTTTTTGACGAGAAACATCTTTATGGGGAATACCAGCTGGTACCTAGATGGATAATGGATACCCTCTGTGGCTCCCACAGAGCCAGGATGCACAAAATCTGTATTTCCTGACTTTTCACAATTCTGTTTGCTTGTTTCTAGAGAAAAAGAGTTTATGATGTCTTAAAATTGGTTGGGTGATAATCTCCACTGACATTCAGAAAGCACCAAGAACTGTCCTCAAAGTTTCCTGGTTTTTGAAAGGAAACAGATACTCAGTTACAAGTACAAAAACACTTTAAGTATCAGAAACAGAAAAAAAAAAAAAGAAAGAAAAAAAGAAAAGAAAAGAAAAAGAAAAAGGCTGTGGAAGACCCCCTTGAGATACCAAGGTCAAGGCTACCCAGGGGAAGGAACAATAATATTAACAGCTACCATTTACAGTGTGCACTGTGCCCCAGGCTCAACATTTATCATGTTGGTCACTTAGAGACTCATGTTGAGTTGATGTGGCCAAGTACTGATTGACAGGGAGAAAATGTAATTGTCCCCAAATTTCACAGTAAGTCTGACTCCAGAGCCTAAGTTGCTTCAAGGTCTTCTTTGGTCAGGAAATATATATGTATATATATTTTACCTTTAATCTCTACCTGCCCCCAACATCTACACATGGGTATAGTATATTTTTTGTTATTTGACATCACGGTCTTGTAGAAATAGAAAACTAGGTTGACTGTATATACCTGAACTTCAGAAGGCTAGCTGCTCTAGGCATTTTTTTTTCTGTGACTAGAGGAGGCTGGAGGCACAGCTAGGTTAGGCAGACATGTATTTCCCATTGCTAAGAATCTCACCTTATCTTACTGACCTACTAGAACAATTCATTCCCTCTACATTAAGGGAAGAATGATTCTTGTAGATGAAAAATCCTCAGGAAAGTTTTTAGACATTAACATCTGCCCTTTAGCAATCCATCATCACATTCATCAGCATAGTGAAACTCAGATGTGGTAGATTCTCTCTTTTTTAATTTGTCAGTGTGTTTTGTATATAAGGGTACATGTTCACACATGTCTGCAAATGTACCTGTGTGTACATATTCCCATGTGTGCATCTGCATGTTGGAGAGAGAGAGCAAAGTTAAATTCTGGACAAGACAAGGAAAGAACCTACCCCAAGGTCAATTGCTGAGCTAAAGTATTGAGGTGTGGGGGTTTGCAATATAATGAACTGGTTAGGTGGCTTATAGACAACAGGAATTGATTTCCCACAGTTCTGGTGACTGGGAAACCTCAGAGCAAGAAGTCAGAGGATCCTATATCTGCTGAGATCCCACTTTCTAATCCGTTAGTATTCTGTTTTCACTGCACCCTCCTTTCACAGAAAGAAAGGAAGGAAGAAAGAAAAAAAGAGTCAAAGACAAACACCTCTCTGGGGTCTCATAAAAAGGCACAAACTAATGAGGCAGAGTCTCCTGAGAGCCCTACCTCCTAATTTGGAATTAGGATGACAATATAGACCTTTAAGGGGACACAATGTCCAGTCTACAGTAAGTGCTTTTCACATACCATCATGCATAAGGGAAGGGAACACCCCCTTATGTTAATGGTGGCCCCTGAGGCTTTCCCAGGCTTCACTGGTAAGGAACAAATATCTGGATAACAGAAATGGCTATTACTAATCCAAGCATTCACCCCATAGTGAGGATGTCAGGATGAGGATCCGGTATGTGCATTTCCCGCTGCCCAGACAGGCTGCTCCTACTTCTGGTTCCTCTGTTTCATCTTCATCACCATCATCTTTTTTTTTGTTGTTGTTGTAGCTATTCTAGGGATGGAACTCAGGACTTCATGCATACCTGTCAGCTGTTCCACCTCTGAGCTACACTCTAGCCTCTCTTCTAATTATTCTTTTTGTTGTGTTGTTGTTTGCTGTTGTTTTGGGGACAATGGCTCACTATGTAGCCCTGGCTGGAATAGAGGGCACAGAGACCCCTGCCTCACAAATGCTGGGATTAAAGGTGTGCATCTTATGGCCCAGCCATTCTCCATCATTACTTGCATCTCTTTTATTAGCTTTTATAGTTCCCCTCTCACTAATTGATGATTTCCAAAACATCAACAAATGGGTTTATACACAAAATCTTTATAACAAATAGTGAAAGGGCATTTCCATGATAACTGTATGCTATTTCATGAATACTAGCCCCCTTAGGAAGAAACAACTGTTTATTTTAATTATGAAGAGGCCTGCTGTCATTTAAGGGATGGTCCCCATTTTGAACTGAATTTCTGAACATGCTCATCCTATCTAAGTTAAAAACAAGTCTGGCTTCTCATTTCTGGCTGCGTCTTTGTTATGAACACCAAAGGTCAGATGCTATATTTACAAACTCCAGTGGCAAATGCACGTAGGCAGATCACGAATCTGAGAAGATGCAACTGGAATGTATATCTTGTCTTAGAGAACTGTTCTTCCCATACTACTGCCATATCAGAATTCAGAAAGCCTGCTACACTTCCCCTGCGCTGTGCTAGGGAGCAAAGGTAACTTCCAGCAGCTTACAGCTGAGGAAGAAAGAGACGATGTATCTGTTTATCAGTGAAAGGCCAATTAAAAAATTAGGATATTGTTACTTCATTATAACTCAGAAGAAGAAAGATGATAGGCCAATTAAACTATCAGGATATTGTTAGATTTAACAGGTAAGGCCCATCTCATTTCAACTCAGAAGGAGAAGCAGGAAAGAGTCTGCAGGACATGTAGCAACGTGGGAGAAATCCTGCAGAGTGCTTAGGATGTGGAGTCCTACAGAGGATGTAGACTGTGGACTGGGAGAGCATGCCACCATAGGTCTGATGAAGGCATGAAACAGCAAAAATGTAGATGGTTCAAGGGATATTTAATAAGTTGCTCTTATCAGAGTTGTAGATTCATTTTGGTGAGCAGTTGAAGATGAATCCTTGGAGCTGGTGACAAAAGACCTTGATGCCAAGCTAGGGACCATGAACTCAGTTTGAAACAGCAAAGAGAATCCATGAAGCTGTGATCTTGTCTGAGATATTCTTCTATATATGAAGTCTTGTGGATTCAGCTTTTTACCCCTAGATAATTCTTCATAGCATTAAAAGCTTCCCTCCCCCTCCAAAAACATACTCATCAGGGAAAGCAATTTAAAAAGAGACTGCAAAGAAACTAGGAAAGTTTTGGATCACAGGAAAGTTATCAGAAGTACGATAACTGTGCGTGTGTGTGTGTGTGTGTGTGTGTGTGTGTGTGTGTGTGTGTGTGGCAGTGGGGGTGCACCCTCCTGGGGAGGCCAAAGGAGGGCACTGGCTGTCTTCCCCTATTTCTCTCAGCCCTGTTCTCTTGATACATGGTCTCTTGCTGAATCTGAGGCTCACTGTTTTAGCTGGGCTGGCCAGTGAACTCCAGTGCCAGCCTGTCTCCTCCCCACAGTGTTAGTGTTATTGGCACACGCAACCACTCCTGGTTTTATTACATGGGAGCTAGGACAACACAGGTCCTCATGTTTCCAAGCAAGTGCACTAACCCCACTGAACCATCTCTCAGCCCCTCAGAGGTCTACTACTTTTAACCATCACTTGATACTAAGGCACATCCCTCATAATAATTCTATGAACAATGTTTTCTTTATAATGACTTCGTATTTTCTGTCTTGAAACTCTCTCCCATCTAGTTCTGCTAAACCATTTAGCCCTGGGCCAAGACCAGATTCTTCCCATTCCCAACAAACACTAACTAAACAACCAAGGTGGCAAGCATCTGCTAGCCTGCTGTGTGTTACTCTTATCATATTTAAGGTTTTTAATGTTTTTATTTTTTCTTATCTTACTTATCGATCGCAGTTCCCGGTTTTCGATGTTTTGAGCTCTTTTCATTTTCTGACCCCATGAAAATTTGAAGAAATTCCTTCAAGAGAAAACTGTGGTACCATTTAGTTAAAAAACAAAATCAAGGCTTGCTGTGGGATTCCTAACCTAGAAAAGAAAGACATTGCACTGATGTAGTCTCTTCTACAGGTGGCACCAGTGATTAAAGCCAGAATGATGGAGTATGGGACCACGATGGTCAGCTACCAACCCCTGGGAGACAAGGTCAACTTCTTCCGCATGGTCATCTCAAACCCTGCAGCAACTCACCAAGACATCGACTTCCTCATTGAAGAAATCGAACGCCTGGGACAGGATTTGTAATCACCTTGCACATCAAAGTGTTTAAATTCTCTAGGTAGACAGTTAAGTTGTCACAACTGTGTAAATGTATTTGTAGTTTGTTCCAAAGTAAAACTATTTCTATATTGTGGTGTCACAGTAGAGTACAGTTTAAAAAAAAAAATCAAAACTAACAAACATAAAGAGAAACATTGCTCCTTTTAAAAATCCTTTCTTAAGTTTAGAATACATCTCTAATAATTAGTGACAAAAAGCTATGTTCTCATCAGTAAGAGAAAGCATAAAGTTGTTATAAATACTTTCCTTTTAATATTGTGTGCCAATCCAACTTTACTTTCACTTCCCAGCAGGAATGCTGAATAGTGCCAAATCACCCTTGAATCATAAAGGGTTCTCTGGGGTGCCGTGAAAAGGACAAAGTAAATATAAAATGTACGCTGACAATACAAACTCTTGCCTTTTTCATAGTATTAGAAAAAAAATTTCTAATTTACCTATAGCAACATTTCAAATGTATTTAAATACATATAATTTTACAAAAAGAAAATATATATAAAAGAAATCCTATTTTGTAACATATAGATTTTATTTTATATGGGTTATATAAACTGCAGGGGCAGATATGAAACCTAAGCCAGATTTATTTCTTTATTCTTTTTTTCTCTCTTTATTTTCATAGAGGCACAATAAAACACTTTAGCAAGGTAATTTTAACATAGAAACCCACAAAATTCTTTAAAAGTTTAATAACTTATGTTAGTATATATCATGGCTTATCATATCCCTAAAGATAGTATTTCAAAACAAACAAACACACACACACACACAAGAAACTTCTAAAAACAATTGACCGGATCAACACTTAAGACTCTCTTCCTGTTTAGGCTTTGCACAAGTTGGCCCTAGAAGACCCACTTTAGAAGTCCTGCTTGGTCCCAGATCCAGTAAGCATGTCTGTCCTGCTTTCCCCTGTAGCTGATTTGAACAGAAGGTTGATATTAGTTCTTGAAGTTTCTTTTCAAACCATATTCTTTTATTAGATCACTTGGATTAATTGGAAAAAACTAAAAATAAAACCTAATCAGCCCTACCAAGGAGGAGTGTAGCACATTCCTCAGTATATTAAACCCAGCCATGGGAGATGAGACCTCTGTATGACAATAATGGCTTCATCCCAAATACCATTCTGCTGCTTTCCCCTACCTCCCAACCCACAAGAAGGAATTAGTATCTCATGTGGATGTTTTCCTTTTCTGAAATAAGCGCCTCACGCAAGCAGTTTCAAGATAGCCTAAGATCTTTTATCTGTCTCCGGTCAAGGTCCACAATAACAAGGATACGCAGAGATCACTAAAACTCAAAATAATAATTTAAAAGTAAGTTTCCTTCCCTGTCAACTATATGGAGAGCTATCCATAGTTCCATGATAACTTTAGAGTCACATATGACCTAAGTGCTAGTAGGAGAACTATGGCCTCTTACAAATAAATGGCTAGTATAGGTCTGGAAGCATTCTTCCACTCCAAGTGGATGGGCATTTCAAAATTCAGAAAGACTACAGGAAGAAAGAAGGCCCTGTCCTCAACTGTCATATATCTTCATGACATAGTCCCAGATCTTATTTGGTCAGGCTGTGTGCAAACATATTGATTGTCTACAAATGTGGCTTCAGGCCTTTGCTGTCTAGAAAGCCAATGGCCTTCCCAGAGCACTGGAAAGAAAACTCACTATGCAACTGAGTGTGTGAAGGAATAGCCTCCCATTTTAACTATTCTCTAGTGGGCAAGCAGGCCTTTCTGGAAACTGGCTGTGGAGAGTAAGCCAGCAGCTGTCCACCCATCTTGAACCTCAGGCTCAAAGATCTCATTTCACAAGAAGAGATATTCATCTATCAAACCCACTGTCCCACTTAGAGAAGGCAAAAGGCCAGGTGTCCTGATAGACAGAAAGGCTTAGCCCTTAGGGGACAGACTTGGTGGCACAAGATGGCTTCTGGTTTGATGAGATGACAAACTTGAAAAAGTAGTCATGTCCATGTATGAGATTCCAGCAAAATACTTTTTACTGGAATTCTCCTATCCCCTCATTCAAAGACTCTTCCTTGCATTTTCTAGAGCCTTGCTTAGATGTAGAGATCTCTTCCCACTGTATTCTAAAGGGGGGGGGCAATGCTTTAATTAGATCTACCATTCACTTGAGAGAGGGGAAGAGGGAAGATGGGAAGAAAGAATAATGGAGGGAAATTGCACTGAACAGTGGTCCAAATCCCCAGTGCCAAAAGTCTTTATCTGTGATCTTCTTTTCTTTCATTTATAAAACACTGGTTTCATCTTTAGTCAGAATTGATATGGCCATTTTTATTTACACAGCAATATTTCATTTATTATTTAAAATACTTGAAAAAAAGTGCAGTGTGTGTTTATCTGAGATCTCTAAATGGTATAGAGCTCATGTACTGTCACGGGATTTGAGAAAAGAAAAGAAGAAAAGTGTGTGTGTGTGTGTGTGTGTGTGTGTGTGTGTGTGTGTTGCCTTTAGTACATTGTTAGTACTGTCTTGTCACCTTGGATTGGGGTTGTGCACTCTATATTGAATTGTGTGGTGTTGCAAATTAACATGTGTTGCTGTAAAAGCTTGCACAATTATCAGTGTGTCGTCTTCTACGTGGTAGCTATATTGAACTTTGAGCTTTGAGACTATGAGAACTGTATTTGCATCCGTTCCTGTTCTCGCCTCTCTTCTCCCTCACCCTCTCACCCTTCCCAAGCTGTGTGCCCTGTATGTCAGCTCTTATAGAGAACATAACCTCAGCTAAGCCCACCCCAAGAAATCTCTTTGACAATTATGTGATCGAACACAAAATGCAACGTGAACGCTGTTTCATCTCTGCGGCTAGAGAAGCCAATTACAGTGTCACAAGCTGCTGATACTGCAGCTGTTCACTTTGTGGGGACTCGGAGTAGGTGCTGCTCCTCAGAACATGGACAAAGGAAACACAGGTGTAAATATAGCAGCAGGACAAAGAATCAAAGACCATCAAATCAGGTATCATCTTGCACGTGCTTTTCTATTTCAAGTACTAAATGCAAACACTGTGTATTAATTAGTTGTGTGTGCCAAGATCTTGTTACCAAGTGGTGTTTCTGAATAATGTCAATATTTCCCCCAGTACCCTTCCATTACTAAAGACAGAATAAAAATAAAATAAAACATACAGACATGTGGCAACCTGTTCTTCCTACCAAATATAAACTTGTGTATGATCAAAGTATTTTACCTGTGTTTTCTCTCTAAACCCAAATAAATGTGTATATGTGGACACATCCAGTCTGTGCATGATCATTTCAAACTCTGCCATGTGGCAGATGTCATTTTTAATGTCTTTCTTGTCTTTCTGGTCTTATCTCTGCTATCACCCCCTCCTGCCACATCTGGAGGGTACCATTGCACAAATTCTGGTTTCTCCTTCAAACAGAAGTGATCAATTAAAATTATTACAAAACATTTCACATAAGTAGAAAAAAACGAGAAAAAAAACAAACAAAATAAGAAAGCCTGTGTAGCCTTTAACCTTTACTGCTGTAGAGCTCAAATGTTAATCTATTTCTCTCCCCACCAGCAAATTATGTTTTTCTGAATGTGTGAAAGACAGGGACTCTTAAATAGAAGGGACACACAGCCCTGCCATTATCCTCTGTGCCCAGGAAGAATTTTCTACTCTTTTTTGATGAGGAAAAGTGATGGGAGATGTCATTCTGTATATGTTTCTCATACTGGTTTCATGAATAAAGCACTGTTGGCCAATAGGAAAGGAAGATAGGAGGGACTAGGAGACAAGGAGGAAAGAGGAAGTAGTAAAGGAGCCAAGATGGAGAGTCTGGAGAGAACAGAATGCCAGCCGGCTCCCCGGTAAGAGAAGGCCACGTGAAAATACATAGATCAGCAGAAATGGGTTAATACTTAAGACAGAGCCAGCCGATAAGAAACTAGTGCCAGGCCAACAGCATTGTACCTAATTTAGAGTCTCCATGTGTTAATTGGGGCTGGCGCGGCGGCGGCGGGACAGACCAGAGGCGGGAGGAAAAACCCTACTCCTTACAGAAAAGCATCTCGGCAGTTATAAGAATGCAGGTTCTGCATCAGAATTATCTGGGATTAAGGTAGAACCCCAACACTGCCCCTTGGGATATCCCACAAATGTCACCAAGCCTCCTTGATTCTGTCCCAGCAACTTTGCTCATAAAGTTTCTATGTTGGTTACATTGAATATATACTGGGCACTGAAGATGGCTCTTGGTATTTGTGCTGCCTAATCTTCATCATCAACTTGACTGGATTCACCTTGAGGTGTGTCCAACCCCCCCCAAAAAAAATGAAAAATAGATCTGAGCACTAATATTCATCTCTCTCTGCCTCCTATTGCAACTTCAATGTGGCTAGCCACTTCTCACTTCTGCTGCTACCCTTTCCCTGCACAGGAGGCTGTATTGCTTTAAACCATATCCTCCATTCCTTAAATGGCAGTGGTCAGGCACTTTGTCATAGCAATGAGAAAAGTATCTAATAGAGCATTCCATAGTAGTCCACAAATCTTGATTGTATCATACCCCTGTTAATTTTTATGTGAACACTTTAAGTCTCCTCTTTTCACCTCCTTAAACACTCAAACCCCACTGAGCTCCTCCACTGCTGACTCTTGGTCAGTGGAGTTCAGCTGAGGCCCACCTAACAAGCTCAATCCAGAAATCTCATGCCTGTGGTGATCTAATAAAGCTTTCCTGAAGATCATAGTGCAAAGCTAGCCACAGTTATACAAGCCATGCAGTCGTGGCACAGACCTTTAATCCCAGAAGCCACACTAATTAGCCATAGAAACTTGGCAGTGGTGGTTCACACCTCTAATCCCAGCACTAGAGAAGAATGTAAAGCAGATGGAGACAGAAGTGTAGTGTATTCAGTTTGCAGTCTAGAGAGTCTGAGGAGCAGTGCAGTTTGGCCTTAGCCTTGGTAGAGGTAAGAACTCTAGTGGCTTGGCTGCTTTGGTTTTCTGATCTTCAGTTTGAACCTTGATACCGGTGTATCTGTCTCTGGGTGTTATACCTCACATTGTCTTCTGCTTATTCAT